CTTTAACTCAAGATGTCAGTTCCTGTGGAAGTTGTCAACTATACTGAGAATGCCTCACCATGCTCAAAGAGAGGTTTTTCAACTGATCTCCAAGATAAAAAACCAGTTAAGGCAAATTCAAAAATAGGTTTACCCCATGTTGCATAACACATCTTTTGTCCAGAGTTACTACTTCAGAAGATATCCACTAAGTGAAGGGAACTGTTGATTATGCTGCTGTTATTTTCTAATCCACAGTAAGATATGCATCTCTCCAGGAGCCACCAGTGTTAGAAGGTAACCATATCTTAAATTCATGTAAACCGGTTTGAAAGGCATCAATGCCTTTTTTTTGGCAGTGTGCTCTGTTTGTGTTATTTTTTTTCTGCACAGTTTGTTTAAAGCGTGGTGTCAAAACTATGCTGCAGATTGTACAATTGTGCCTTGGTTTGAATAAGTTTCTGATTGCTTTACCCTTTCTCTTAGTCTGAAATGTTTTAAAATTACGGTAGTTTGGGTGTCATTTACCCATGCAGACAAAAATGTAATCAAGTAACAATGTAAGGCCTTCCTGGAGACAACAATTTGTTCAACTACCAAGCTGGTGTTGTGGGTATAAGTAATCGTGTAAACCAGTTCTGAAAAAATCCGGATAGTCAGAGCTCCTTTCCAAAGACTTCTATTTTTAACACAACATTTTGCAAGTCTTGGCCTTGGTTTGACCAGTTGAATCATTGCTTGATAAGAACAAGGGGGCAAAGGTAAAGGTAAATGCAAGCAGCTGCAACTGGAGGTCAAGCGAGGTACCCTAAGGCAAATCAAATGATCTAGACATCTGTGATTAGACTTTTGACTTGCTCACTTTGGGCAGAGCTGTATGTTAATGTCATATACACAGTGCATAAGTCAGGAGAGCTACCTAAGTACGGTGGTCAGTTTAAGTTCATACCCTTTGTTCCTTAGTACGAGGAAGCATCTTCCTGATGCAGCTCATTTCTGCTCTCTGTGCTCTCTACTCACAGCCTTGCTTTGTGCTCTTTGGATCTATTATCAGCACTATTCTCTCCCTATTTGCAGATTTACTGGACTTGAGAGCCCAAGGCACAATGTCAGAGGCTTGTACCATGCCATGCCTAATGTGAGGCACAGTCTGCGCTACATGTTGGGAAGAGGTGCAGAGCTATTATTGTGCTCTGTAGATCTTTATGCACCAAATCAGACAGCTTAACTTGTTGCCTTTCCAGTATAGAAATCTTGGGAAAAGGAAGAAGTTGCTTTTGAAGTTACCTTCACCTGCCTTGCTTCCAGTCTTTGGTATACTTGAACTAAAACAAGAAGAAAGTTTATTTAAATTTTCTACTGGAATAAGCTGGCAATGTGTATTTATTTCCATGAGTAGGGGAGTGCATGGTACTATTCTGATCCGCACAATTCCTTCCACGTGGTTCCTTCCCTGGAGCATCTGTATATTTGAACAATGCTTTGCTTAAACACATGACTCTAAAATTTGCTAATTTGATTTATACGTATAACTAGGACAGGTCCGGAAGCAGCACAGATGTGTTCATCTGGTTCTCTGCTCAGGTTTACGTACTGACAATGGCTTTCTTAATGGAACAGTTCACAATAAAGCAGCACCTTGAGAGTATGTGTGAGAGAATATATGTAGGTTGTAACAGAATAACATGATTGTTATTACCATAATCTCAAGGGAACAACAAAGAGTTAAGTACTACAAGTTACACACAGCACATACCAGTTTATGTTTGTTCTGGTCACCTTAATAAAAACAAATGAAGAAAAATGAGAGCTCTTAATTTATTGTGCACCTATAGTGTTGTAGTTAGCTGCTTTTGTCTTTTTGTGTCCTCTCAGAGCTAAAGAGACGTTGATAGTGTTTACTGTATTTGTACCTATACAAATATACGCCTTTTCAAAATTGGTGTGTCAAACTCCTTCACTCCATTAAGAAAAACAACTTTTTTTAAAAAAGAGTGAATTTCATGCACTCTCCTCTTGGTTTCTTGATTTTGCTGGTATGTGTCAAAATATTCTTTAACTGCACGTATCACTGATATCTTCTGGGAAACTGAAACCAGACTGTCTCTACTGAACTCAGGAAATTGCAGGTGTCCTTGAGGCAAAAGAAATGAAATCAGGAGGCCATGAAGTTCAAGCTTACACTTCCATTTGAATTGTACTTTGCCGTTCAACTGTTGAAGACTAACTCGACAGATTAAAGGCTCTACCAGTACATAGTTAAAGGAGGAACATTGAAACATGTGAATCCTTTCAGGAAAACATGATAACATTAAAGCATCTCTGCATTCAACAGAGAAACCTTTTGTTATTAACAGTCCAAATCTGCTTTTATTTTCTCAGATACGGCATTGCTTATTAGCAGAGATGACAGGCAGCTTCTATTCTCTCCTCCGGCACTGAGGTTAATGTTTCCTCCCTTTCTTTGCTTTCTATCTCAGTTTCCATGTTCCTCAATATTGTTTTTTTAAATCTATTGATGAAGAGTGCTACAAAATGGCATGAAGATGATTATGGGAAGTCACATCAAAATATTCTGCCAATAGTGAAAGCTTAAGGAAGACTCCAGGGACAGGTGAAGCACATCGTTCTAGTGCTCTCCCTGTGCCCAGCAGCCTCCATTTCAAATACCTCCTGAGACAGACTTACTCATATAGAATTGCCTAAATTTAGTCAGTTAAGTGAAATACTTTGACTAGATGTGCATGTCTGCATGAAAAACAAAAAAATATGAGCTTTTAACCTTAAGCTTTCCTTACATTCAATCAAGCCTGGGCTTTGATTTACCTCTACTAAAGACGACACCAAAAATACGAAGGATAGATCACACTCTTTTGTCCTTTCACTATACTTCTTCTCAAAGGTCTATGATTACCCCATAGGACATCAAAATCTGGGCATGATGGGTTTCTTAGTGTTTAGTATCCTTTGATAGACTTTGCAAAAATACATACATATATATATATGTTTTGAACTCAATTTAACATCCACAATATCAAGCTGAAAAGACTTCTGCATTTTAACATTACGTAGTGTGTGAAGAAACATTTCCTTTTGTTTATTCGTATCCTGCTTGTGTAGACCATATATACTGTAATTATTATTATTACTAAATGACTGTATTTTTAACCTACACATGCTGAACTTTATAGAAACTGCCATGTTCATGTACTGAAAAAAACCCTGGACACTCTGTTCACATCTGGGCAACTGTGGAGAGGGAATCAGTACTAGCAGCAGAACCTTGATTTACTTTCTATTTCTCTTTTGTCTTTTTAGAAGATATTCTAAGAACTTGAATGTCAGCCAATGCAATTTTCCCAATCTTTGGTGAGATTTAGGGGATAATGTAGCAAAAGCCTTTATTTTCTCGGGAGATCCTTGAGATCTGTGACAATATATATTTTCCAGGCCCTTGGGAGCCCTTAGAACAGAACAATGTTTGTTTTGAAGATAAACAAATCTAATATGGTTATGTCTGGTGTATCCCATGGGGAAAATAGCTGAAACTTATTACGGGGATCTTGGAGATGAAAATGTGTAGCGTTATCAGTTCCTACAAATGGTGAGTAAAATTTTCTAGTAGAGTTCACTAGGAAACACTCTCTGTCTTTGAAATAGGGGTGATAGCTTGCAATTGTTACAAGGTCAGGAGTGTGCAAACGGCTCCACACCTCCTAGCACACACAAAAGCACAACACAAGCATCACCAAGCTAGGATTATGTGTGCCTTGCGATTTACTGTAAGCGTGTATTGAGTGTGTGGTGGCAGTTGGATGCATTAGTGACCCAAACTGTTCACTCCATTCCTTCTGTTAGGTTGTGAGGGAAATAAAGTTGAACTGTGCAGATGGATCTCCAAAATAAACTGTAGTAGATTGAATTCAGGTATTGCTTTTGCTGTTTGCTTGCTCCTGCTTAGCAGGTAAGGGAAAACAGACCACTTGACAGGTACACTCTACTTCTTCTGTAGTTCTCCATCCTCAAGAGTGAAGGAAATGGGATAGGAAATACGAAACAGCAAAATTGCTTCAGTGAACCAGAGTGACCTATCCCATCTCCAACCAGGGCACTGATTTTCACAGTGCTTTCCACAGAGTGTGATTTGAACTTTAGCAGTGCCTCTATAAAATGATCTAATGAAACCTGAGATTGTATGGCCTTTGAATTGATATGCCCTGGCCACTGTCTGCAATAGGAATGAAATCTTGTGTTGATTTGTGGGAATGGGTTCACATTCTTATTTTGTTGCTGCTTTGGGATTGTCTGCATTTTGTTGGCTGCAATGTTCCTCTTATAAACTAACTTACCTTTCCCCTCGCCTCTTTTTTCTTGTAAAGCATTAAAGATAAGAAAACAAATAAAATAAAAATAAAATATTTGAATCAAGTCATCTCATTTTAACTGACATTGCATTATCTTTTGGCAAGAAAGTTGTCTTGTATTCACTGGGAATAAAGGAAGAAGGAAATACTGAGGAATGGACAGGGGTGAAATACTGAGAGAAAGAGATTTTAATTTAGTTTTGAGTCCTGAGTGAGGTTAATAGATTTTGCAAGACTCATAAGAAACTAGTGGAAGATCAAATTGAGCCTCATTTGATTTCTGATTCCTCTTTAAATTATTTCTCTATTTAGAGGTACCTTTGCTTCAGCCCTATATGAGGAAGGAATACAACAAAATAAAGCAAACACATTAGAAATTACACTTTGACAGGGAGAACAAGATAAAAATCCCAAACAATTTATAAGAATTATAATTCCATAGTTTGGGTTTAAACTTGATGGAAGAAAAAAAAGAAGAAAAAAAGAATAGAAGTAAAAAAAGAAAATAATTTTATTGTAGTTTTTTCTCATCTTCTAAGGATGATTTTTTCTTTTTAGAATGGGACCTTAAAACTTAATGATGTTTCCTGATAAACTCAGTAGCTATTTTAAGTTTGTAATTGTTCTTTCTCCACATAAAAATTCCCTACATTTCAGGTTACAGCAACCCATTCCAACTGCATTATTAAAAAGGAGCAAGAGACTTGTCTGGAGAAAATACGGAGAGCAGCTGCCCTGAACCCTCTCAATGACTCTTCTCCAGGTGAGTTTCAACTTGGCATAGGCCATGTACATTGAACTGATGGTTTCTGAACATTTCCTGTCATGTCTGCAGGGATTTTCAGCAATGTCAATGAAAGCGTCTTACGGTAAGAGGTGTAGCCACTGCAGCTGAATGAGCTTAGAGAAACATTATAAGGATGAAAAATCAATCAATGGGAATGTAGCAGAACAATAGCTGATTATTATCTGAGGTCAGGAATTTGCTTCTGTACTTTACGTGATGCAGTGACATATGTCTACAAAATTAATACAAAAAGAAAAGAAATGAAAAAACAAACAGTATGCCTAGAAAGACCTTGATAGTATTTATGTCTTCTGCTGGTGTGGGTGGTAACAACTATTGGGGACTGGACATAAGACTAAATGAATCATTGGTCTGTTCTGTAACAGCTCGTTCCCCCTCATCAACTCGGTAATAATTTGTGCCAGTCTCTCACATGATCTGAAGACCTTTATAGGGATTAACATTGTGATGACTGTAATATTGATGAAGAATACTTGTGCTATTGCTCAGATAAGAAACTGAGACAGCAAGCAAAGAAGAAATTAATAGTTAATATCCTGTCTCATTTCCCACTGACTGCAGCAGGAGCTGCCTGTGGCCAGTGCCAATCTGAGAAAGGCAAAGAATGACAAAGAAAGTAATTGGAAATCAGGGTCTATTTTCTGAGTCCTGTCCAAACTGCTTCTACTCTGTCTGAAATCGGTAAAACTGCAGAGAAAAACAAATAAAACACGTTGTGTGTGTGATAAAAGAGGGGAGATTTCTCTACCCTTTTTGTCTCTACACATTTCAGGCTGCAGATATCTGTGTTACCACAGCATCCTCTGAAGCAAACCGCTCATGCCTTTTAGCTGCTACGAGTATTTCTGTCAGAGTCCTGTTATTCACCTCATACATAAGATCATTTTTGTTCTGCTTCCCAGCTTTGGGCAAATGAGCTATGTGGTTTGGTGGAACTGAGGAAAGCATGTACTTCAGGCAGTTCATTTCATCCCCAGGGAGGTTTTTTTGAGTATTACAGAAGAGCTTCTCAGTTATTCCCTGGTCCAGATGTGGCATAAGCAAGGACAAAAGTAAAAAAAAAATGTTTATCCTCCCCTACCCCCAGAATGATGTCAGAAGCTGACCATGAGCCCTACTTGTTATGATTATGCAATTACTATTATTTGGATTCAAGAATTCATAGATTCTCCCAGGTCAAAAGAGACCATTTCACCAGCTAGTTTGTTCCTTATCACTCAAATCCACAATAACCCTGTTAGTTGGAGGACTATTCAGACTGAACTCCTCCCCACTGCCTGTTCCAAATTCAAGGAGCACAGTTCAGAGATACAGAGGGTCCAGAGCCATTGGAAAGGCTTTTGCATCTCAATGTGATTAAAATGTATTACCCACTCAGGCAGGAAGGGACTGAATCCTTTCAAGCGCTAGCTCAGCAGCAGAACCCAGCTGCTCCTTATTCTGTTCCCCCGGTATTTTTGGATTGAATCACTGTAAAGAAGATTTTCCCAAGTTCATCGTGCATCGTTTAGTTGTTCATCACATCCTGTGGCAATGAATTCCACAGTTTATGTGGTGGCTTTGAGTAAAGAAGCCACATCCCCTCAAAGACATTTATTTTCCAGTGAAGAATTCTGGCATATCATTTGTTTGAAAGTCATTCCATTCTGTGGATCCTGTTTGTTGCCCTTTCTCTCTATCTTTTTCTAACTATTGTAGACATGTTTTACTTATATTTCATTTCACCTCTGGGACTATAGCATTCCATTCTATCCCCTTTAAGTCCTGACCTTCCAGACTAACCTTTTATTACATGATACTTATTTCAAGCTAGATCCTGCTACTCACATTCCCAAAAAAGCCTTATCTCCACAGTTAAAGGATGGGACATTAGCAGAGCGTTACCACCTTCTTACTGTTTGCTCAACATCATTGAGATACTACTTAATTTGTTTTGAATGACACCTTGCTGCTGCCTGCTAACAAGAGGTATATCAACATGGGATACTCTACATATGATGAATTCACACTCAGCAATATTTGGAAAAATACCACAGGTATCTATTTACTCCAACAGCACTTTTCCTCCTGGTCTGTTACTGAAACGGAGCGCTATTCACCACAGCTGAACCTGGCTTTTAGGTTAAGTTATCAAGCATTGTTTGGAGAAGCTTCATTACAAAACTCCCTGAAGAGGTAGTAACTGCCCATAAATTAAACAGTCATATGTGCAGCGTGTTGATTCCTTTCGATTTTCACCTGCTGCAGACAACATATTTTTCACTTGGGAGAAGTGAAAATTGCCCAGCATTGGGGTTTTTTATTCGTCTGTAGCAATAAGACTTACTAACGATGGTAAGTAGTGGAGAAATATGTTATTAAATTGTTTCCTTCAAAGAAGGAGAAACGTAGGAAACAACTCCCTTGCTTGCCAGAAACAGCTGAAAGAAGGAAGAAATCCCTCCTGGCTGGTGAGTAAACTTCTGTTTATTCAAGAGCAAGGAGAAGCACAAAACTGCCTCTTCCCCCACTTTGACTACTTCTGCCTGCAAATTTCCATAGAACAATTCAATATACAAATTTAAGGTAAATAAAATGGGACTGTGAGTTTTGAGGGAGCCTGTAGAGACTTGGGCACATGTTGAATTTACTGTGGCTTAAAAAAAAAAACAATAACCCAAATCACCTGAACTACAGTAACCTCTGTGAGCAAAGTAGTTCCACCTTCTTCTGTTGCAGGTGACACAAAGTCAAATGATCACATATAAAACTTGGGTCTGGGACATGAACAGTCTTTGTGATCTGTAATTCTACAGTATCTAGAACAATAACGTTACAGATCATAAATCCTACTCCAAGGTGACCACATGGTGCAAAAAATAATAATGGTAATAGTAAGTTTCTGCTCCTGTTTAGAGACCTTGTCTTCTGCACTGATATTTCTCCTGCCTAAAAGTACTGCATGGAAAGAAATGCACTTTGATGTCAAAAGAGGAAGAACATCTTGTAGGTTCCTACATTTCGCAATAATTCAACTCTGCTGCCTTCGCTTTGCCCCCTTGCTGTTTTCAGCGTCTGTGAACACAGATATAAACTAAATGGTTCCCCAGAGTTCCTCTGGGTGAAGTCCAACACAAGCACAATGTTGATGCTGCAACTGCAACCACAGGTCTTGAAGAGCAAGGCTGGCACTTGTATTATGGAAAGCATTTAGCCCTGATTTGTCAGGGCTCTGATGTTTTCCCCTTTCCCTTCTCCTCTGCCTCTCTTGCCCAGATGTTATGGTCAGTACTGTTTTATTCTTCACAGCACTGTTTTCTCTCCTGCTGCTATGTAATGCCTATAATGCTTCAGAGACAATGATTATCTTGAGATTTTCTGTTTGGGTTTTTTTCATGAATTTTATGATGGTTTCTTCATCTAAAATGCTTTAAATTCTTTAGTAGTCTATATATGAAAAGGAATAAGGGACATGAGCTGACCCTATGTGTCCATCCCCATTCAGCTATCGCCTACAACCTGAATGAAAAAGAGAATTTGCAGAAAATGAAATCTCAGCAGGATAGGGAATTTGACTCCTTTGCTCTGGAGAGGGAATTAAAGTGATAAAGGGAATTAATGAAAGCCAAAGACAGAAAAGAAATGAAGAAGGGGAATGATTACTTCATACCCAACTTCTCCAGGCAGTGGAGCCAGGCTATTTCTCATATCAGTGTTTCTAATCTCCCTTGTTTCCTTTTTTGTCCCTCTTGTAGTGCATCGCTGCCCTAGTTCCTGCTGGATCGTTTTCTAGTTGTCAGCAGTCCTCAATGGACTTTCTGCCAGATAAGAATTGATAAAGATCACTGCTGATCCATACGCACCTTTTTCATTTTTATTTTTTGTATCCAGACTCTGCTGACGTGTTCCCAACACTGGGGCTAGGAAAGAATGGCACAGGAGTTACTCAGATACTTACTGACAGTTTCTTATGATGATGGAGCAGGGTTTTTAGTTTTAGATTTTTAGTGGGTGTCTCATCAGCCTCCTTTTCTTTCAGAGGCTTTTAATTATCTGCTCTTATTTCCCTTGGCACCACTGGCAAGATGTTACTTCATTGTGTGCTTGTGTATGTGTGCATGTGTCTCTGTTGTTGATGCAGCTGTGCACAAGAACAATAGGACTTGGATTGTTCTTCTCACTCTCAGCTTTTAAAGCTATTGAATTCCTAGAACTGGGAGGGTATAGCTAAGAATATGTGTCTACACCTAAATGTTTTCCACTTGGCTCCTATTTGAGCCAGGATGCTGAGTTAGATAGCTTTGATCTGCCTAAATACACCTATCTGGTCAACGACACTTTTTTGTGCTGATGGATTTATCCATGTGACACTGCATAAAGTGTCTTCCACTAACTTCGTGTTGGAGATGGTAGAAACAAGCAAGAATTTCAAGGTAGAAGTTAGAGACCATATGATAACAGGGTTAGGATCCATGCTTAGTTTGGACATCTATACTGTAGAGGTCTCTATCTGAACAAACACCTGTGCAACACTCGATACCTGAGCTGTGATCAAGCTTTACTCTTTCTCAGGCAAATGCAAGAAAAAGAGCTTCACTGATCTCTGTTTTCCAAGCATTGACTCATTCTTTAGCTCTTTGGTGAATGTCTCAGAATTTATCAACATGCTTTTTAGAAGTCTCTTCATCAGATACAATGGATAAATTCATGTCACCTAAATATGTGCTTATAAAGTAGAAAGGCCTTTTATCAATGCTAGTTATTGAAACTGTGTTTGTAGTCAGTAGATCAAAATAAATACTTAGAAGTCACTTACAAGTACTTATAGGACTTGAACTTGCCCTGTTTTAGACATCCATCTTACATTGAGAAAACTATGAGAAGTGCCCATTTCACTCCATTGCCTATTAAAAAAATCATGGACGTCTGAAGTTAGGTGCTATGAATTCTGTTGATAACTGCGTAGCAGTACTGAA